TATAAAAAACTGTATAATTTAGACCAACACTACGAATTCTTCGTTGAACAGTGCTGTTGATTTCATAAAATATTTATTTATATTGATTTATTTCAGATGGCAGTCTTTGTGATATTTTTCATTAGCTCTTAAACTTTGACTTCAGCTTCCCCCAAATGTGGGTGGGGACATTTATAGCAGTTAATTAATAGCAGCGTAGCTTTGACTTCAGCTTCCCCCAAGGGTGGGGGGTACATATGTTGACTTCAGCTTCCCCCAAGAGGGGGGGGGTACATTTAAAGCAGTTAATTAATAGCAGTTCATTAGCAGTCTTCTTGCTTACAGTTAATTAATAGCAACCCATGGGTGGGGGGTACATATATAGCAGTTAATTAATAGCAGACATTAGCAGTCTTCTTGCTTCCCAGTATCTTTGGCTTTCCTGTAGCTGTCTTCTTGCTTCCCAGTATCTCTGGCTTTCCGTAGCTGTCTTCTTGCTTCCCAGTATCTTTGGCTTTCCGTAGCGGTACATTTATAGCAGTTAATTAATAGCAGTTCATTAGCCCGGACATTTATAGCAGTTAATTAATAGCAGACATATATAGCAGTTAATTAATAGCAATTCATTAGCTGTCTTTTTGCTTCCCAGTATCTTTGGCTTTCCGTCCTTGTCTTTAGCGCTGGACATCGAATCAGGTGGGTCTTCTCCATTTCCTCCTCTGGTGAACACCGAATCAGGTGGGTCTTCTCCATTTTCTCCTGTAGAGAATCAGATGGGTCTTCTCCATTTCCTCCTGTAGGTTTCACATCAGGTGGGTCTTCTCCATTTCCTCCTGTAGGTTACAGATCAGATGGGTCTTCTCCATTTCCTCATGTAGGTTACATATGGTGGGTCTTCTCCGTTTCCTCCTGTAGGTCACATAGACAGGTGGGACTTCTCCATTTCCTCCTGTAGGTTACATAGAGTATGTGGGTTGAGTGTATACTCTCAATCTGTGAAGGTGTTTTGATTGTATACTCCTAATCTGTGAAGGTGCTTCGCCAGATTTCCTCCTGTAGGTTACATAGAGGGCATGTGGGTTGATCTCCCGTTGTCTTTAGAGCTGGACACCGAATCAGGTGGGTCATCACCATTTCCTCCGCTAGACACCGAATCAGGTGGGTCTTCTCCATTTCCTCCTTTGAACACCGAATCAGGTGGGTCTTCTCCATTTTCTCCTGTAGAGAATCAGATGGGTCTTCTCCATTTCCTCCTGTAGGTTTCACAATCAGACTCCCTTGTCTCTAGGGCTGGACACCGAATCAGGTGGGTCTTCTCCGGCTAGACACCGAATCAGGTGGGTCTTCTCCATTTCCTCCTTAGGTTACATAGGGGGCATGTGGGTTGAGTGTATACTCCCACGTTACATGGAGGGCATGTGGGTTGAGTGTATAATCCCAATTTGTGAGTTTGCCAAGCAATCGTGTCCGGTACGTAGTCTAAACTCATAAAATATTCGAATTACAATTCATCAAGGTCTCTAAGTGACTAATTTTAAATTATTATTATTTCAAAATATTTTTATCTTTAGTTTTTAAAATTTGACTTTAGCTTCCCCAAGGTCGGAGGAACATATATAGCAGTTCATTAGCTGTCTTCTTGCTTCCCAGTATCTCTGGCTTTCCGTCGTTGCCTTTAGGGCTGGACAGCGAATCAGGTGGTACTTTCTAATTTCCTCCTGTAGGTTACATAGGGAGCAAGAGAGTTGATTGCATACTCCCAATCTGTGAGGGTGTTTTGCCAAGCAATCTTATCCGGTACGTAGTCTAAACTCACCAACGGCTTCGATTCTTGGCCAGTCGGGTATGTCGGAGAGTGCCACTGTATACTGTTTCTTCTTTGTTCGAGATTTAAGATCGTTACACCTTGAGGTAAGGAATTCTCTCCTGATTAAGGCCTTCATTGTGTGGGAAGACATCGGCCGGTCCATGCATTGCAAAATCGTTGTCCCCTTCTTAGCAAGTGTGCCAGCAAGCTCATTGGCTTAAATGCCCCAGTGATCAAGAATCCATTGTAGGAACACTGTTTTGTCGTTCACTCTCAGCAGCGGATAGAGATTTTTATATTCCTTTAATTCAGCTGTTTTGGGTGGTTCACTGTTTCCAATTAAGTTTATTGCTGACAAAGAGTCCGTTAGTATCGCCTCTTTGGTGAATTTCGTATCCAGGCAACAAAATTGGCATAATGTTATCCTAATGGTCTCTATTTCATCTTCAAAAGCAAATCTTATGTGTCCTGTTGCTGCGTAGAAAGCGAAAAACTCGAAAAAGACATCTCCACCGCCGTTGGCTTAGTTGGACCCATCAGTGAAGATTTGGAGCCATTGATCTCCGGGTTAGTTGACATTGATTGTCCCAAGGGCCAATGAGCGCATTCGTTCTAGATAGTTGTTTGATTTCCTAAAGTAGTCAAGCAGTTGGGTACAACACATGACCTCAGTGTCTGCTATTGTGTTCTAGGTAGAGGGTGTCTTTTTTGGTTTGTCATCGATTTGTAATGCTTGCTTCAGTTCTATGGCTTTCTGTTATAGACCAAATTGCGTTTTCAAATGTCTTGGTCTATTCTCATGGTTCTGAAGACTTATCCATGTTAGTAGCTTCTCATACAGGATCAAGGCCTTTTCTTTGATGAGGTAGCTTCTCATACAGGATCAAGGCCATCTCTTTGATAAGAGAACCTTCTCATACAGGATCAAGGCCTTTTCCTTGATAAGGGAACATATTGTGGTGGATCCTGTAACCAATGGGTGTTGATTTTATCACTCATGTAATAAGTCGTAATGATTGTTTGTGTGCCTTCTCGAGGGGTTTGGGAGTCACCTCTGTGGCTGTAATGAGTGGCTTACAGCAATACAATATTATTGGATGAATAAACATCTTGTAAGTGGTGTTTAGAGTTGAACGTTCACAGCCCCATACGCAACCAGCATGACGCTTCAGTGCATTCAGCTTATTTTAGATTCATTTTGCTATTTAAAATACTCCCATTCATTAGGCTGATATTTGCCTTTCAAATGAAGTTCCGGATATGTATTTGCATAGAAGTGATATTTTGATGAATATGAATGCCTGTTAATTGTTTTATCTGTTTAAGTTTATTACCAAGCAAAATTTTACAAGCATTGCAATGCATCCTTTTCGTCAAATGTAATGTTTAGTTATCAGGGTTGACAAAATAATGCGAAGGTGAGGCTTGATCACGATAAAATGAGATCAAATAGTACAGAATGAAATTTGGAAATCATTTTGCCTTAACAACTGTTTTCTTAAATATATGTATAAATATCAGCCATCTCTTTATGATTTAGTTTATATGAAAGCCGCATTCCCAATGTGTAGGAAAATTGAACGTAATTAAAATTAAGAAAGTGTCGTTTAAACAAGTTTTATTTAAATAATGTGTATGGCAACCTCTTCAAATGAAAACGAAACATGTATGGGCAAAATTACTACTTAGTTATTTAAGTAGAATTCATGAATTTTTCTAACAGTGTTCCAAAAATATCTTCCTATCACTGCTTTCAATGGCAAATAACTAAAACTATACACTGGTGCGGAGTCTTATGTTACACAATGTGCGAGTCAACCTAAATGTAATATGTGCAAAAATTACATTAATTTGAGGTTTAAGTAATCAATTTTAATGCGTAAATGCGGTTTTCACTAGAAAGCAAAGTGGTAAATATATATTTTCTAGAGTCCAGCCATTGAGTTATTTGGCTGCCAATAACGACAACATAATTTTGTTTAATTCGCATTTACGTGTTATATTTTTGACAGGGGTGCACGGTAGACCTACATCCTCGTGGTATACACCGGACAGCTTATATTCATACGGCAAAAAAGTCTATTACTTGGTATTTGACTTCAATTTTTATGGTAAGCTTGATGCAAGTAATAAGAGAATTAGCCCACGTCAGGGTGAATCACAAACTCTTGAGAACCGTAATTTGAAGGCTGAAGGGATATTGAAACACATAAAGATCCAAATTCAGAAATTCTTACATACTTCCGATTTAGACATATTCACAAACACCGGCAAGTTGCAAGTCTGCTTAAGTAGACTCGAGAAATGCTCTCAATGAAAAATGTTGATTTTTCCCACTAAAATATGCTCTCCATTCAATGCCAATACTCGATTGTCAAAATGAAAGTCAGTGTAAGCGTAAAATGGGATTGACGATAAACGAAAATATGCATTGCACGAAAAGGCTAGCAAAAAAGTTCAGTTTTAAGCCATTTCAGCAGTTTCTATTTGAGCTCTTGACGAAGACGAGAGAAGGAGCGTTGAAGAAAAAAATAACCTGTAATCAAACGGGAAATGATTCTAGATAGAAATAGTTGAATTGGGAAGAATAGTTGACGGATTGGCCTACCCGTATGTTAAGTGATGCTTTCAGTATTGCTACTTATGCCTATGAATGAGTGTAATAAAGAGTAAAGGTCAATTAGTCTGATTATGAGATATGAATTGCCATCAATACCCTCCCCATTAGCTGCAATCCATCAAATATGGATTGATGTCAAGTAGCTGACTTTGTAATATTTAACGCTTGCAAGAAATTAGACTTCGGCCTACATAGAGAGGGGTAGCATCAGCACCTATATAGACTTGAGCATAGTTAACTGTAGCCCTTTAGTTCACTTCTGGCTTTCTAACATCTCTGAATTTCTGTTGTTGTCTTTAGAGCTCGACCTTCTTATCAAGCGAGTCATTTACATCTACTGTTGCAGATCACATAAGAGCCAGGTTAATTGGGCATATTCGCTAGGGAATTCCAGAGCTATCTTTTGATTAAGGTCTTTATTGTATAGAACATATTGCAAAATTATGGTCCCCTCCACGGATAGTTTGCTAGAGTCGATAATGCTTTAGAGTTCAGGATCAATTGTTAAAATATGGTTTTTATTTTCATTAAAGGGTGACGGATGTAGTTTGTTCATTCCTGTTCTAAAGCTGTTTGTGGTGTTTTTTTCGTTTCTAATTAATTGTAAAGCGGACAACAATGCCGAAGGACTTGATGGATTTTGATGTATTTTGGCACGTTTAAAGTACTCCTGTAAACCAGAGTTCAAAATAGAAGTGGATTATATTTGATCAATGTCCGATAGATTTATTCCGAAGAATGTGAAAATTGCAGACAATAATGAGAAACAGTTAATTGAAATTTACAAGTTTTACTTTCCCTAAATTAAAGGCAATTTTGATAAGCTCTCAAAATTGTTATAATGAATTAATAATCATGAAGTTGCATTTGCAGTTCTACAGCTTAATTGGCAGTACAATTTGAGGGATGTTGTAAATTAACAGCTTACCTTTTGAGTTGAAAGAATTTAGTTTTTTTGAGGGCAAGTAATTTATGTTGAATTCCGTGTTCCTTCGAGTGTAAAAATAACCTTTAAATCTGGCCGTATATGTTTTAATGCAGTGAAATATTTGCTTAACTCCAATTTCGTATAATTTATACATCGAATTTGAAATTAAATAATCTGTAGGAGAGATTTTCAATAACTGTGTGTGGAAAAAATCTAATTGAGACTTCACGGAGGAACATTGCCATTGTTCTACCACTGAAATTTCAATGCCCGTAGCCCACTTTGCTTTATACCAAATAATCATTTCAGTAATGCTCTGGGAAAACTTAAATACCAATGGTTTAACATTATTTTTATTAATTTAATTTTTAAATACTATTCGAGTTATTGGTGGTTGACTCAAATTACATCAGTTGCGATTAAGATTGTCGTCCCAATATTACCATTTCAGAACCGGAACCTGTGCCTTCCACGGAAGACTAATATCACTAATCGAAATTTTTCTGCACCCTTATTTTGTTCATTTTCCGTAAGTTCCTTTAATGAATATTCGTGTTAATCATATCGAAAAGGTTTTTTAATCTTTATGGCATGACTCACTGTTAAGTACAGCCTTATGACCAAAACTATCTTGGGAATTTTCTCCTTGTAATGGTACTACGATTATTTACGCTAACTCAAAACTATTTGAGAAGATTAGAATTAGGATGAGAGAGACTGGCACGAATTTCGACTTCATTTTTAGGCATCTTTTTTGTGATTTCTTTGCTTAGATATGACGTGTTCAACAAACCACTAGGTTTCATTTGCATTTTTCTATTAGATACAAACCCATTTTACTGGAAAACCATTTTTTAACTGAAAATTCGTGTACATTTATGAGTTTTTGGCTTGGCAGATTATATGAGAATCGACATAGAACTAAGTTTGGCTTTAAAATGAAAACCGTCTAAGACGTTCTTATATGTGA